CCTGGCGGCCTGGACCTTATATGTTCAAGACCCCCCCATCGGCAATTCCTCGCCCTGGCCCGAACCTGACCCCCCCCCGCCCCGACGCCCTGGCGGCGTGGATTTCTGGCCCTATAAACACCCCCCACTCGACAATTCCTCGCCCCTCGCCCCGATCCGATGCTGACCCGCCATCCGCCCCGACGCCCCGTCGGCCTGGATTTCTGGTTTTGTAGAACCCCCACCTCGGCAATTCCTCGCCCGGGCCCGACCCTGCCCCCCCCCTCCCCCCCCCCCAGCCCCGACACCCCAGCGGCTTAGATTTCTGGCGAACCCCCACTCGTCAATTCCTCGCTCTGACCCCCCCCCGCTCTGACATCCTGGTGCTCTTTTAAGCAAAAACCCGACTCGGCAAGTCGTCGCCCGGGCCCGATCCTGACACCTCCCCGCCGTGACGCCCTGGCGACCTGGATTTATCTTTCTCTCTCTCTCTCTCTCTCTCTCTCTCTCTCTCTATCTCTATATCTCTCTCTATATATATATACATATATATATATATATTCTCTCTATATATATACATACACACATATATATAATATAAAATATAAAAAAAAAAATAAAATAAAAAAACGCCCCCCAACTAGCAATTCCTCTCCCCGGGCCGAGCCTGGCCCCCCTGCTCCAACATCCCTGCGGCCTGGCGTTCTGGCTTCTTTCAAAGATCACCCATTCGGCAATTCCTCGCCCAGGCCCGACCCTGACCCTATATAATGCCCTCCCGGGGATCCCACACGTGCAATTTGAAGAAAGGCGGGGGCGGGGCCAGCCCGAACGCGCCGCGGGGGGGTCGGGGCCCCGCGACGAGCCAAAGGCCGCCAGCAACTCCGCAAGACGTTCCAAGAGAAGCCAGAAGATCGCCCCAAAACGCCCCACTTGGTTCCAAAATGACCCCCGACGCCCCAGGACGGCCCCAAATGCCTCCAATACACATTCCAGGAGACCTCTGACGAGCGCCCCGACAAGACAAATTCGTCTGACCCCACGAGAAACACTTACATTTTCACACGCGCAACTTTTGGCTCTCACAGCGTTCAAGACGGCCCCGGAGACCCGGCTGACCGCCCCAAGACGGCCCAAGGAACCACCAATAAACAGGCCCACGAGGCTGGTGACGCACTGAGTCTTGCATTCGCCCACAGCGCCCCGCGGGCCTGCGGGCCGCGCGGCGCGCGGCCTACATGACGCGCGACGTTGCGGCTACAAAGACTGAGCCCATATTCCTCTGCGCTTCCTCCTCTTACTCCATCTAAGTATCCTGCGTCGCCCTCCTCCCCCCGGCGCGCCCAGAGCAGCGCGAAGTGCAAGCGAACGCCCAGTCCCCTCCAAGAGCGCGGGGAAAAAACTGGCGAGAAAGAAATCAGAAATACGAGCCCACCCGATTCCTTTTCCGCGCCGCGCATCACGCGGAATCAGCAGCGCGAGACTATGACACGAAACCATCGGGTCATGGCGTGCTGCGATCGCGCGCAAGGAACACAGCGCATGCCATCACCATCGCCAACATCGCAATCGCCAGCAGCCACAGCAGCAGCATCGACGCCGCTGGGAGCCGCTCGACGAAGACAAGTGGTCCACCTCAGTCGTTGTCGACCCCGATTGCGAGTGCGCCCGGCGCTCACTGTTTGCTGCGGCTGCAGAGACTATAGAAGCCGCATTTGACATCGTGCACGCTTGTTGTTCTGGGGTCGGCGGCAGAGGCGGCGGCCTTTAGATGATTCGCCGGCATCCGCTACAAGTCCGCTGTTCCTCGCGGGCCCAGGGGCCCAGGGGCCCAGTCGGAGGCCCACCGAGACCTTGGGGGCGGCGCTGCTGACGGGAGGCCCTGGAGCTGCTCTACCCGCCAGCAACGCGCCCTGGGCGCCCACCGCCGCGCCTGGCGTCTCACGCTGCTCCTGAGTGGGGGGGCGAGATAGGTTCGGCCAACCGTGCAAGGCCGTCGGCGGTGGCCCTCCGGTGCTCCGGCAAATCGGGCGCGCCTGATTGTCGCCTGAACGGCCACAGGGTCGCGGCCGCGAAGGCCGGGGCCAAGTATGGGAGCTCCATGGGGCTCGCGGTCAGGGCCAGCGCGGCGGGCGGGGGCGCGGCCCCCATCGCGCTCGCATCGGCCGACAGAATTGCGCAGTATACTTGCTCTCTATGGAGCCGCCACTCGATCCACCAAGTCCTAGAAGCAAGTTCTCGAGGTGAGATTAAGCGCGACCCTGATTGGGGCGTGCGCGCGACCAGAATGCGTCGCGCGGTCTCACTGCGAAGTCGCACTGACGTCACTCGCGTCTGCGCAAGCAGGAGCAGACGCTCCCTGTAGATTGCCAGATGTGCTCGGCTAGGCGTTGCAGTTTGTTTCGTCGGGCAGTCGCCTGCGTGGCCCTGGAACCCCGGCGGCGGGGCAATCTCTCGAATATGGTCAAGCTGGCCTCTGAGAGGCTTGCGTCGGCCCCGCAAGCCTGTCGGGAAAGGTTTTCCGAGGGAATGTGTTTCTGATCCTGGGGTCTGCTTCAGGAAAAAGCCCGCAAGGGATGAATGGCGCTATAAGTATGTGTGCGCGTGTGTGTATACAAGTGTTTGTGTGTGTTGTGTGTGTTGTGTGTGTGTGTGTGTGTTGTGTGTTGTGTGTTGTGTGTGTTGTGTGTGTTGTGTGTGTGTGTGTGCGTGCGTGCGTGCGTGCGTGCGTGCGTGCGTGCGTGCGTGCGTGTGTGTGTGTGTGTCTGTGTGTGTGTGTGTTTGTGTGTGTTTGTTTGTTTGTGTGTGTGTGTGTGTGCGTGCGTGCGTGCGTGCGTGCGTGCGTGCGTGCGTGCGTGTGTTTGTGTGTGTGTCTGTGTGTGTGCGTGTGTCTGTGTGCATGTGTGTGTGTGTGTGGCTCCCTTCTCTTCTCGCAGAAGGCTATAAACATGTTTGCATTCAGCGATGGCTCCTGCTTTGCTGCCGACTTCCCATCGGCGCGTGTAGCAGGCCGGTTTTGCATACTGTACAATGCCCAGACAGAGGTCGCAGGTCTGCGCGCAGCTGCGCCGCCCGACTTCGGGGCCCATCAACCCGCGCGGGACGGCGGGGGCTACGCAATGGTCCAGCAAGCCGAGCATCTGCTCGACACGTCCTCAGTGCAAATCGACTTTCGGGCACCCACCTCGTGTTGCCAGACGCCTTGGACCTCCCACGCAAGCACCAATCCCCCGCTAATACATGGAGGTGGGCCTATTCGCGCGAATGCTCTGTACAGCGTGGCGCCGCGCACGCGAGAGCTCACGCGTCTCAGCGAGCCACGCAAGACCATATGATCGTCCCCTTTCAGCGCGAAGGCGACACCTTCGCCGACCAGCGGGCCAAGAAGGGTGCGGCCCTGGCCCGCTCGGCGATGTGCATTTCCTCGAGGGGTGCTGGCCCGTTGTTTCACGGGCGTGCTGGTATGCTGCCCGGGTCTCGAAGCTGATGTCTGATCGGGAGTTCAAGGGACAATATTGATCTGAGGTGTCTCTAGAAGACTGACCTTGGGGTTTGGCCCCCTGATGCGCTCTACTCTGAGTCGGATCCTGGTTGGGGGGGCGAGGCCGTGGAGCCTCAGGGGAACTCGGGGTCCAGAGATTCTGGAGAGGTCCTGCCCCAGGGCACGTGGCTTATCCAGGACCACTAGGTGCTCGAGGCGTCAGTAAAAGATGGCAGGTCTAAGCCTGCGCTTTTTGTCGCTCGTGTTGGCAGTATTTCAGTGTATCCAGGCCAACGTGGGCTCAATAATTAGTGCTCCGGGTTGCGGCGCCTTTCGGGAAGCAAGGCTTTGGCCGTGAGGAGCCGCTTGAGGAGCTCGACGCACCCGACTAGACCTGAGGTGGCCCCAGGGGATAATCGTCGTGGTCGTCTCGGGCCCGTTGGGCGAGCCACTTCGGGGAGTCCGTAGCGAGGGGAGCCTGCCTCGAGGGGAACGGTTCCCCCATTCCAGCATCAGGGGCCGCCGTCTCGTATCGACCGCTTGGTCATCCTCCATGCGTTGGGCATAGTCGAGCGCAGCGAGGCTGAGCGCATGGGTGTCCAAGCCCTGGAAGCCAGGGCTGAGGAGCGTATTCGGCACGACGCCCAGCCCGAGGAAAACCTCGGGCAACGTACGGGGGGTGGAGTGCCCTGTCGGCTGGCCCCGCCCGAAGTGGATCGCAGCCTCGGGCGGGGCGTAACAGTTTTTATCGAATAGGCGCCCCACCCTAATTGTCCTTCTCTCTCCCCTTGACTCTTCCATTCATGGGCGTCGAACCTCTGCCTCCGCCTCTGCCTCCGCCTCCCCCGCTCCCCAGGTCTCTCCCTCTCGCGCTTCTTCTCCGTGTCTGCATCCCTTCCCTCGCTGGCCGCGGGTGCGGTACCCCCATCAGCACCTCTCCTCCTCCTCCTCCTCCTCCTCCTCCTCCTCCTCCTCCTCCTCCTCCTCCTCCTCCTCTTCCGTTCCCCCGCGACCCACCAGGCAACCCTCCCCTCGACCCACCTCGCGTCCCAGCTCGCGACCCATTATTTCCCCTATCCATTTCGATCGCACCGACCAGCGGGGCGCAAAACCGGCGTGGGGTGTGCTGGCCTATGCTGGCTGGACCACCCGCGGGGGCGTCGCGGGGCCTAGGTTCCTCGAGGGAGGAGGAGGAGGAGAAGGAGGAGGAGAAGGAGGAAGAGGAGGAGGAGGAGGAGGAGGAAGAACGCGGAGGAAGACCGCCACAATCGTAGGATTCAGGCTTGGTCAATGTAAAAAAAGAGGAGCAGACTGGCTGGCTGGCTGGCTGGCTGGCTGACTGGCTGGCTGGCTGGCTGGCTCGCTGGCTACTCTGCGTATGGCCACGTCTCACGGTCGAATCGAGATGGCGGTTACAAAGGCGCGTGTGGGACATGGTGCTCACCTCGATGTCACGCTGCCGTCGAGGCGGCCCTTCAGATCAGCCCACCCGCCCCCCTACCGCCGGCCGGGCCCCAGCCGAGCCGGGTGGCCGCCGCGCCTCGCCGCCCGCGCCCGCGCCCTGCGCGCCGCTGCTGCACTGCAGGCGGAGCGCCCCCGCGCGGCCCTCCACCTGCTCCGCCTGGGGCACAGGTCTCGCAGCTGACGGAGGAAGAGATCGGCGGCGAGCCCAGGGGGGAAAAGAGAGGGGGAAGGCCTTCCCGGCAGGCTCGGAGGCCCCCCGACCTTCTGAGAGGTGTTCCAAGCTTCCAAACCTTCCCCGAAGGCACAGAACACTTCTCAGAAGGCCGGGAGGCTGGGAGGCTTCTCGGGAGCCCCGACGCTTTCTGAGAAGGCCTCCTTCTTCTCACGTCCCTCCCTCGCTCGCCGCAGAGAGGAGGAGTAGGAGGAGGAGGAGGAGGAGGAGGAGGAGGAGGAGGGGGAGGAGGAGGAGGAGGAGGAGGAGGAGGAGGAGGAGGAGGAATTACGCATTCGACGATGGACCCCTTAGTACCCACTGGCCCTGGGCGGTCTTCTGGCGGCCTTCGGCGCTATTCTGACGGTCTTCTGACGGTCTTCGGCGGTTTGCGTCGCTTTCTGGCGGTCTTCGACGGTTTCCTGCGGCTTTCGGCTCGAGAGTCCGACTGTTGCGGTTAACCGAACACCCAAGAGGAAGAGATGGAGAAATGATGTCGCAGATCGATTACGCATGCTTCTGGACGTTTGGGCGTTTCTGGGTTCTGAGGCGCGCTCGTCGCGACGGCCAGAGCCAGACTACTGGCTGGAGCGCGCCTCCTCGACGTCGTCGCCTCCCCCGTGTCGTCCCTCTTCCCCTTCCCTCTGCTGTGGTCGAAACAGGCCTGAAGACGGCCCAACAAAGCCCAACAAGACTTTTTCCACGAGCACCAGATGATGTTACTGCCCGCGCAACGCCAGCAGCCCACACCTTCCGACTTTGCTTGGTGCTCCGCCTGCAGAATGCGGGGCGATTCAGGGTCGGAAGACTCTCAGGGCCAGACAGCGGGGCGAGCGGGACCCCGCTGGAGACGGGGGGCTCTGCCTCGGGATTACGGGGCGACCCCCGACCCCCCCCCCTCCCGGGAGACCCGCGGTCGCCCAGCGGGATGCGAAGCGGTCGCGGGGAGGGCACGACGGGGTCCGAGTATGGGGTCAGAGGATGGCGCCGCGTCGCCGATGCGTCGAGGAAGTTGGGCTCCGAATCGAGCCGCGTCGCCGATGCAGTGGCGATTCGGCGCGATCGTCCGACCCCGCCTGTTCGGACCCCACGCGGGCGGCCTGCAGGGAACGCGAGCGGGCCAACGAGTGCTGCAGCCGCCGCCGCCGCCCCATAGATCATAGATGGTCCTAAACACGCAGGGGGCGTTTCTGTTTTTTTCAAGATCAACGTGCTCTTTCAATTCTGGGCGCCGTTCTTGTTACGTTTTCAGGTCCGGGATCGACCTGGGGCCCACCTGCTCCTGTTCTGCCCGTTTTCGAAGCGATTTACACACGCCTTCAGGTATCACAGTGCGGCCTTCGTGACGTCCACATTCCAGAGTGTCGTTCGTTTTTTAAACGTTTTGGTCGAGTCGAGAGCGAAAAAGCGCCGCCAGCGCTTACTCAGAACAGCGAAGCGCGACCCCCCCCCTCATGCTCCAGGACCGCCCTCTGCCTCCTCGAGGCGATGGCGGCGAGGAGCGGCAGGGGCCCCAGGGACGGGCGTTGCTCGCCGGGGGAGGAGGTCAGTGACAGCTGGGGCGCACGGGTCGGGGCCGCCCCCTCGGGGGGAAGGGGAGGGGGCTTGGTCGGGGATGGGCCTGAAGCCATCCAGCGTGCTCTGAGGGGCAACGGTAGGGAGGGCTGGCATCGAGCTGGAATCGGCGGTACATCGAGCTGTCATCGTCGGTACATCGCCGATAGAGCGGCGAAAGGCCACCGATAGCGACGCCGCACCGCTCCTGGGCCGGGTGGGCCATCGGGCCCCCATCGGCGATCCGTGGGCGATGGCGGGTCGATGCCTCCCCCCCCTCATCGCTGCCCCTCGTGCTTCGACGACGTCGGACGCGTCAGAGTCCGAGCCCTCTTCGGGGGGCCTGGACGGAAGGGTCGTGGCCTCGCCTCTGGCTCGATCCCGGGCGAGGTCGGCCTCCTCGAGGCCAGGAGCGTCCAGGACTTGCTCGCGGATGGCAAAACCCTGGCAGGACGGGGGGGGGCAGGGGGAGGGACGGGGGGGGGGAGGAACGAGGCACGACTCTGCCCAAGTCTCGGTGGGCATTCTCTCGGGGGGTAGTCAACGCGCCCAGGCTACCCATAATTAACGGGGGAGGGGAGAGGGAGGAATGGGGCGGGCGAGCGGGGCAGACCTCCGCTCATATCGTCCCCTTCCGCGGGAGTGTGAGGCCGAGGCTTGCCAGCCTGATGCAATCGTGTGGCACCGCGCTGGCGGCAAACAAAACGAAGTTAGCGACAGGGGCTTGGAGGAGCAATCAAGATGGGAAGGGAGGAAGGCGGGGATGGGAGAGGAGGGGATAGGATGACAGGGGTGAGGATCATGAGCAATGGCATCGAACGGGGAAGCAGACGAGGAGGACTGGGAATATGAACAATAGCAGTAGCTATGACAATTCCGTAAGACCTTTACTATTTCCCCCCTAAAACTTTGTGTGGGTTTCTTACTTGCCTTTCGAATGATCCGGGTGGGTGCGTCGAGAATTCGCCACGTTCCGGCCCGTTGCCAGCTGTTGCCGCTTGTGTGGGTGCGTCTGAGACTCGCCACGTTCCCGCCCGTTGCGGCTTGGGCGGCAACGTCGAGGATGCGCCGCGTTCCGGCCCGTTGCCGCCCGTTGTTGCGTGGGTGGCAGCGTCGCCAGGATGCCCCGTTGCCTGCGGGCGAGCGACCAAATAGCTCCATCACTTACGCTCACACTACGCAGTTTCGACCACATCGCTTCCACCACGTAACCTCCACCACAGAGCTTCCACCACCTGGGTGCAAAAACTCATTATTTGGTGTCCTCGCTGGCTACGATGATTTTCGTCGGATGTGAAACTTAGCGACATCATGCACAAACATGGCGATTAACACAGTGTATGAGTTGACACAATATCATTACATGGACTCGAACTACGTAGCATTCTCCTGTGGCGTAGGAATGCTGACTCAAATCAATGCAAATCCTCTGTAACAACTGCTATCGTGGCACATCGAGCAGGACGCTGATATTGCCCCCACAGCCTCACATCCAGCTGAAAGGCGTGATCCCTAACAGCTTGAGACAACACTTCTGCTGCCCAGTTCATCTTGGCATGAGCTATTTTTGAGTCTGTCGCGCCGTATTGCTCAAAACTATTCAACTGATTGGCACGCGGTCTCTCAAACATTGCCCGTGCGGCTTAGGACACTGCGATTATAACAACGCGACCGAAAGACCCGTTCCTTTGGGGGGGGCGCTTCTGGGTCACCAGGGCGAGGACCGTACGCGTGGGTCCAAGGGAGCTGTGGATGCCATCGGGGCCGCGGAGGCCATGACCGCAAGGCCCCCTTCCCCTCCCCACCCATCCTTGCCCTTCTCCTTTTTCCGATCCTCTTCCTCCTCCTTGTCCTCCTCCACGGAGGCCCAGGCGGGGTGCGTACAGGATGCCTTCCTTGGTGGATGCCGTGCGTAAGAGCTTGGCGATGCCGGCACTGTCGTAGACCCGTTTGGCATCAGCGACGGCTAACCCTCACATGAGTCATATTATTGCGAGCTTTGGTTCCAGCCATTGAAGGGAGGGACATTGGGGGGACGGGCTGCGATCTGCATGCTGGTCGCATGGCAATGGCGAAGAAGCACTGGAATATCTGATGTGACAATGTCCTGTAAAGACGTCTTGATATCCAACACTGAGCCAACACATGACGGTGATGCTGATGCTGATTTTACGTGTTTGGAAAGCTTGCGGACCAACCACTGAAGATCGACTTGCCTCCAGTGCCATACAAAGCATACTTCGCGATGAACGGGGCACCCACCTCGCACATGACCGTGCTCATCTGGCAACTGGCCACTGCCGATGACTCCACATTCGCATGACTACCTTGCATGCGCTTGCACACAAAATACAAGGGACCATTGACCCTGCCGCGCCTGGGTGAGACAGACACGGGGCACACAAACAGTGGCAACCACCTTGCCAATTCTCCATGTGGGGTTCATTCCCGACGACAGACCCCTTGGAGGTCCGAACTTGACTCGTGAACCTACACGGAACGCGTGTACGCCAAGATCTATAGCCTTTCATCTCCACTTGTCCTGCACCTCTCTTTCTTGGCCGCACATCGATGACTTATCTTTCATCGCACGTACACGGGTGCAACTAAAGCGGCTGTGGCGGCGTCCACGGGCCACAGGCACATGGCCAATAGACACCATAAGAAGCGATATCAAACCATACAAAACACAGACCTAATGCTGGTCTCATGGCTCGTGTCTCTCATCTCTCACTCTCTTTTGCTCTCTCTCTCTCTCTACATCTCTCTGTCTCGCTCTACCGAAGATCGACGGCCAACAACACGGTGCATCACGGCCTCGCAGTCTGAACCGCCTCGGCACGAGGAGGTTGACGACAATGACGTCGGCCAGGACAGCTCTGAATACATCCAACTGGACCAGCTCTCAGAAGTCGAGCGCGAAGGAACAGAAGCTGATCTCGCTCAGCTCGCTAGGCTCGCTGGATTCGAAGAGTAGGGATCCTCTGGGAGTTTTACGGATGATGAGGATGAACCGTGCGGAGGAGGATCCGGGCAAGGACTGGGAACGTGATTAGTGGGAGGAGGAACGGGAGGGGAGGATATGGAATGATAGCGGATGAGGGAGAAAAAGGGATGGGAGGAGGGATAGGGCTGGGACGGATGGCAGGAGGAATGAAGGATGGAAAGGGGACGGGAGGAGGGAGGATCGAGGAAGGACAAGGGTCCTCGGAGGGAACCGCTGGGCCCCGGGGCGAGGCTGGAGTAGCCGAAGCTGGGCGCGTCTCGCACGAGCAGCCTCGAGGACCACGTGAGGCCACTGTCGGTGCTCCGCTTCACGCTGAGGTTGACCCGCCTCGTCCTGTGGTCCGGGTTGGAGAACAGCAGCAGGCGGCGAGGCTCCGATCCAACGGCGAGCACGCTGGCCTGGCAGGAGGGCCCCCGCAGCGAGGGGTCGTAGCGGATGGGGCCCCACGTGAGGCCGCCGTCGGAGGAGCGCGCCATCGCCCTGCCGCGCGTGCTCTCGAGCAGGTGGCGCATGCTGAGCAGCACGCTTCCGTTGCCGAGATCGGCCAACGCGCCCTCGTCCATCCCGTAGAAGTGCTTCGGAACCGTGGCCCAGCTCTCGCCGCCATCGTCGCTGTACGTCACGAAGTCCATCTTATACGGCCCACAGTGCGAGACCACCAGTAACCGCCCCGCGCCCCCGCCCCCGCCATGCAGCTCCACGCCAGGCCCCGGCCCCGGCATGCAGCCACGCGCGGCGCCGAACTGGGAGCTCACGTCGGCGTCTTCGCTCCAGCTCAGCCCGTCGTCGGTGCTGAAGACCGCGCCGTTGCCGTGCGGCTGGCCAGCGCAGTCGGACGTCTTGCAGCTCCTCGGGCGCCGCAAGTACACTAGCACGACCCTGCCCGAGCGCAGCGCTATCGGGGATGGATTTCCGACGGGGTGGCTCTGGCTCCCAACTGCAAACTGGACGTCGCTCCACGTCCTGCCCCCGTCTGTGCTGCGGCGCAGGGCGATCTCCCGCGTGTTCCAGTCCTCGCAGCCCACGCCCGTGCCAGTGTAGCCCCCGCGCCTGCTGCGTGGAGGCAAAATGCGCCCGTGCCTCGCTTCCGAGAATGCTAGCAATGTGCCACGAGCTGTCCGCACAAGGACAGGAATCCTGTAGCACGACACGTTGGCAAGCCCCGCGGAGAATACAACCTTGTTGCCGGTGCGGCTCGAACAGCTCAAATTCTCCTTGTGCCCCGCTGGGTCTGTGGCAAACTTTGCGTCATCGGCCGTCTCGATCACCTCGTATTGACTCCAGCACTCGTTGGCCTCTGGGGAACAGGATCCACTCCAGAAGTAGCAAGCATGACGCCACAGGGGGTCTCCCACATGCTTCCACTCCTGCCTGCGCTGGGAACAGGGCGCGTCGAAGTATCCGAATCCCACGCAGCCGGCGGTCGCTCTGCAGGTGAGGTGGCACATCTCGGCGGTGGCGTCGACGAGCTGACCGATGGTGATGTCTTGCCAGTTGCTGCACCCGACTCCCTCCCGTTGAGCCCAGAGCTCCCCCCGCAGGGAGACTAGCGAGGCGACGGAAGCGCTCCTCTGGCTGGAAACAACCAGCATCCACCAAGTGGCGCACGTTGCCGCGACCCCCGGCAGCAGGATGAGGCCAGCCACGAGCCGCAGCGAGCGGACCTTGGCCTCGCGCACGGCCGCGGTATTCCCTCCGAGCCAGCAACCCCGTTCGGAAGGCCTGTCGGCCAGCAGTCCCGCTCGGAAGTCCCATCGGCGCGGCACGCTCTCTGGTGCGTCGTCGGAGTCATCAGAGGCGCTGTGTGATCGCGGGCGCGAGGGGTCTCGGGAGGGCAGCCGCATGAAGAGAGAGCCAGCGCTGAGGGGGGACAAATAGCGGAGGACGAGACCCAGGGCCGGGACACGAGCGTCCTGCAGGAGACAGATACCAAATGCCGAGACCGCTACTCCCCGGACCCCCCCTGGGCTCCCTTCTGACCAGGACTCTTAAGCGACTCCCCGTGGCGGCGTGGGCCCCCCTGGAGGCCCCGGATGGCGACAAGGAGGAAAGGGCATCGGTGTCAGTCTCCTCTGACGTGCAGGAACTCTTCAAGCGTGCACGGGGTCCCACGGCGCGCATGCCATCCCTCCCATCCGCTCCTCGCCTCCTCAAGCCGGGACGGAACGACACACCCTGCCGCCCCGCCACCCTCCATCCTGCGTCCCTCCTCCGCAGAACCGATACTTGCGTACCCCGAATGCAATCGGCTCCGAGAAAATGGAGAACTGACGAACGCAATTGACCGATCTGGATGAGGGGAACGATTCCTGGGCCCGGGGGCTTTCCCTGGGGCCCGTTTTTGTTTGTTCCTGCGCAATTGTGTGTTGTGCGTCCTGAAGGCACAAGAACACAAACGACGTCAAAGACCTACATCATCCGACCTCGATCCTCGAATGTCCACTGCGTGGCGAACGAATGAGCAGCAGCGACAGGCCGGGGACGCCCTGCGGCTCCTTCACCTACCTCGCGGCACTCGGTCCTCTCGGGCTGCGACCCTCAAAACCGTTCGATCGCTCGGCGCACCCCCTTCTTCTCCTACCCTGTTCTTTTGCTCAACGCTCATTCTGAAGAAAGAACGAAACAGCCGAAATGAAGGGCGCATCTCCCTCCTCCTCCTCCTCCTCCTCCTCCTCCTCCTCTGCATGTGCGAATAAAAACGGTAGTAGTGATTCAGCTATGTGCAGCTAGCTTCCGCGGCGTCTCCCGGCGCCTGGTGCCAGGACCGAGCGTGCAAAAATCGAGGAACGTGCCAAATGGCGACAATCGAAATCAACCGCATGCATCAGACTCCGTCACTCCCGCTGTTCCACAACCTTGAGCGTACCGTCTCAGGGGCTCCTGCAAGCGCGATCATGAGGAGGATGGACGGATACAGTCGAGATTCATTGGAGAGGACACGCGAGAGCACACAAGACTCACAAGACCCTTCCGAGGGCCACAATGCCATAGGAATGTAGAAAGCATTGGTCAGTTCACCCCACCCACTGGGCCCCCTGCGGCAGCATCGTCAATACCCCGCCTTTCGTCCGTCCAGACCCCCCTCTCCCTCCCCAGGGCCTTCCAGAGCGAGCTGCGGCCGACGTCCGCGTCCGCCTCGGACACGACAACGACTCCAGATGGATGGGCCATCAGGCAGAACTCCGTGCCCTGCGCGCCAGTCTGGAATATGCGGACCTCGGGTCGGCGGCGAAATCCGAACCCTGCCCTCGCCGATCAACGATTCAAGCAACTCGATGAGCTGAGCGGCACGTGTAGGGTTCGGAATGCGCCGAACACGTGGCGAAATCCAACCCCTACCCTCGCCTCCCATCGATTCAGGGGAATCGATGGTTGGTGGGGGTAGGGATCGGATGTCGCCACCGACTGGGTACGGGCGATCGGGCAGCATCGGTCAGGGGAAGCGATCAGGTCAGGACGGTGTCAGAGGGCGTCCAGCTGACGTCCGTCGCCAAACGCAGAGAAGCGGAGTAGGCGCATCGGCCATTTCCCACAGCCCGCCCGATTGATACCATCCCTGGCCGAGGACAAGGAAGGCAGGGCGAGTGGCTTCCTTCTCCTCCTCTTCCTCACGACGACGAAGATGATGATACATTACCAAGATGGTGCACCTGGGAGGAGAGGAGGAGGTACGAGACTGTCTGTGGCGGCTAGGTGCCCGTGCAGGTGGAGACCGAGCGTGGGTCCCAGCTCCCCGAGGGGGGAGCTGAGACTCTTGTAATGGGGCCCTCCGCCTCCGCTTCCTCCACCACCTCCTCCTCCTCCTCCTCCGTTTATTCTCCCGCCCTCCCCCTCCCTCCGAAGGAGAGGAGCGGGGAATGCGGTGGCCAGCTCAGGCTGGCAGTGAACTCGCTGGAGCATGCACAGGTGGCGCAGGTCGACCGAACGCGGGAAGGATCCCACCACGAAGGGGGCTGATGGGAGGGGCGATGGACCCGGGGCAAACACCAACATGGACACACGCTTCGGCTCGCAGAGTGGCCGCATTCCCTCAAGCGCTCCGCTGGGCCGCGGCTGGCTCTGCCAATACGACCGCCTCCCCGACCGAAGCCGCTGGGGAAAATCCCGACGGAAGTCGTGCTGGGGACCCTGGGGTCGGCGCAGCGGTCCCCCCAGGAAAGACGCAGACCACACCAAGCGCACACGCACGCGCCGGCCTTGTCTGGAGCTGGCCCCAACGCACACCAGAACGGCGCGGGTTACCTCGCGGGGGGTACGGGCAAGCAAGGCTGGTCGCGACAAGAGGCCGCCGATGTGCAGCCAAAGCTGGTCTGGGGAATGGGGGGAGGAGGACGGCGTAGCCGTCAACGGGAAGCGGCGAATCACTCCCAACCTCTAGGAGGAGGGAGACGGGGGTGGAGGTGGACGGGGCGGAGGTGGACGATCAGGGTGCGAGGACGAGAGGGCGGCGTCAGTGGACGTGGAAGGCAGAACGGAGAGAGCGAGGGAGGGAGAGAAAGAGAGAGAGAGAGAGCGAAAAGCAGGCGTGGAGGGCGATCTGCCACTCTCTAGACCAGCAGCGGGCTAGCTGCTTTCGATCGCCCCTGAACAATCAAAGATCGGGCCATAAGATGTTTTTTCTCGGCCTCCCCCGTCATCACCCTGCTGCTGCTCTATCCTCCTGACCCAACTCACGCAGAGTAGGAAGAGTGTGAGGCTGGCGAGGATGATGGCGAGGGAGAAGGTGGAGGAGACGGAGGAGGAGGAGGAGGAGAAATACGAGGCCACGGCCCGCGACGACGCCGCGACGGCGTGGAATGGCCAAAGACGCTTCCAAGATGCTTCGCAGAGCCTCCGAGATGCATCGAGATGTCCAAGGAGACACCTCAGATAGTCATCAAGAAGGCCTTGTTGTCGGGGAGCTAAGATACAGTTTGCATCAACTCTCAACACAGGAATGTTGCTTGCTAATCGCCTGTCTCGTCCCCACAAGCTACAAATCTGTTTTCCAGATGCGCCCCAAGAGGCCCGGTACGGTCGAGAATAGTCTAAAGTAACCCCGAGGTGGCCCCTACATGACCCAACGTGCCTGCAAAACCGTGCGAATCGGCGAACCCTGTGTCAACATCCGCCGCCGTGCCGAGTGGGACGAAGCGGAGCGACCTCAGGTTCCAGGTTCTCTGTCTTGAGCGTTGCGAACTCTCTTCAAGAGCCCCAGGGCCTTCATTCCCGTGCGCTCCTGGGCGCACTGCAGCTGCGTCGCGTGACTGTTCCGAAAGCCTTGGAGGCCTTGCTTGGAATCCATACATCCAACATTGCTTCAGAGCTCGAGGCCGGTCTCAGGGCACGTCCCGAAACTGTCTCGTGGGCCTCCTCGGCCGCCTTGGAAATTTTCGGGGCCAGCCCACGAGGCCGAAATCTATGCCAAACCTGCACATTGCTGCACGTGTTTCCCATTGTCGCCTTTTGGGTCTTAAGCAAGAAGAGTCCAAGAGGGGGATCCCGGACTGATACTTGGAGCCTTACCTTTCCTCCCAAGATGCCCCCCAAGACCGCCAGCAGGACTTGAAGAGGCCCTTAAGAGGGCCACACGAGGCTTCCACTAGGCTGCCAAGACGCCTCACTCCGTGGAGCATCTGAGAGACCTCTTGTGGTACGGTAGCGTGTTACACCGAAAGCCGATACTTGATACAGCCTCAAGAACTCGCCAGCATGCCCCAACATGACGCAACATTCCTTACAGAAACCTCAGGATGGCCCAAAGACTTTTCGATTCCGATCTCAAACCACGAATCAAACATAATGGGGGCTGGCGGCACTTCGCGAAAATATTTCATATACGCTTCACCAGTTTCTCCCGCTACGCTTCCCCTCCACTTCTGGGAGGGGGAAGGGGGAGATATGAGGTAGGCAACGACAGGATTTTTGGAAGAGTAATGTATAAACATAGCATAAAAACTGTTAGAATGTGTTGGGTGTTGGCCCGCATCTGATGAAGGAAGGTAAGTGGAAGCCCCCTAAATGACATTGAACAAGCGCTACAAGTAGATTGGCACCTGAGATCGAATATACATACAGCGATTGAATGCCCTGCACTCGTGTACGTATTGGAGGGCAAACTGGCACGGGGCAATGAAGGGCCTTCATTTCCAGTGCAAATATGCCTTTGAAGGTCACATCCAGCCACCCTGGGCGGGCGCCTCATGAGCATCCGAGCAAACCACGGAGGCGAGAGCCGGCGCTGCTGAACACATGCAGCTGGGATATCGCCTGACCCGGCCAAAACCTGACTGACTGTGGCCGCCTGGGGTCGAAAACAGTCAGGGAACAAGGGGGGCAGGGGCAGAGACGCTCCTGCAGAACAGGAACAGAGCGACAGGGCATGCCCCTGCCCTCGGGGAGCACGCGGGCCGCCACCCGGGCTCCCCCGCGCCTCGCCCCCTTCTGCGCCTTCCCCGTCCGCGCAGGCCCCGAGGCCCCAGCCGATCCGCCACTCTCGACCTCCTGCACCTGACGGCGGGCGCGGGCTGACCGGGCGCCCCAGGGGAACTTGCCATCGCTCGGCTCGGACCTCCATTCCCCGTGCACTGTTCGGCGTCGTGCGTGCGGTCTTGCTCGCAGGATGATCCAAGATGCTCCTCGTTGGTCCACGCCGAGAAAAAATGCAGACGCCCGAGCGGTGCCCACGGGAAGGGGAGGCGCGCGAGCGGGGCGTCGGAAAGTCGTGCGAACTCCCCGCGAGAGGACACGTGCGCCAAGGGCCTATTGCTGGGCATTGGCGACAGGGCGGCCGTGGCCGCGAGCCTCGAGAGGCGCACGCGGCTTTCGTGAGGAACACCGCGGGTCCGTGGGAGGAAGGGGGAAACCACGGAGGCGTATGGAGAAGCACCACCGGGGCATGGCGTGGGCGGCCGTGGCCGTAACAAGATGTGAGCTCAACCGTGTGATACGCGCGAGGCTTTCGTGATTCGGCGGCGAGCCCAGGAGGGGAAGTGCGGAGGGGCGGGCCGTCTCAGAAGGCTCGGAGGGCCTCGGGCCTCCTGAGAAGTTTATTACGGGCCTTCCTCGACGACGCAGAACACTTCCCAAAGGCGCGATGGCTTCTGAGAAGCCCCGCCGCCTTCTGAGAATGCCTGCCACCTCTCACTTCCTCCCCCCAGGCGCGCAGCCGAGTGATGACCACCGCGGTTCCGTGGAGGAGGAGGAGGAGGAGGAGGAGGAGGAGGAGGAGGAGGAGGAGGAGGAGGAGGGGTATCAAGAGGAACCAGATAAACCACCGTTTCCTCACCGCCGAGAGCCACCGGCGAGAGCTCTGGAGACCGTTTCGGTTCTTACACAACCCTCCTGGCGCCGAACATCAAACATCACTTTGACTGCACGCGCACACGCGACTTCACGCCTGCCGTCCGTTACGCTTGCAATCCGAAAGGTGGAGGACGGGTAGAATGGCGACGATGAGACGGCAGAGGAGGGAAGGGAGGAGAGGAGGGGATGAGAGGGATGGACGGAAGGAGTGGGACGCGAGGGCGGGAGGACAACATCACAATATCATTGTGCCCTTCTCCATCGTTCTTTAGCTCACCGTCCTCCTCCTCCTCCTGCAACTACGTTCGTATTGCTTCCCCTCCTCGCCTACCCCCTCCGCATCCTCCGTCCGCCCCCTCATCCTACTCCCCCTCCCGCTCTCCCCTCGTCATCCCCAACGCTATCTCCCGCAACCTTTCACACTGTCCTCCGTCATTGTCCTCGGTCATCGCCATCGTCTTCCTCACCACCATCGTGTTCGTCCTTGTCCTCGCCTTAACCACCGCTGCCCTCGCAGGCGTCGCCGTCCCCGTCCGCCCCAACCACCAACCGAGCAGACAGTTCCTGGAGACCCCCCCTCCCCGTGTTGGGCCTGCCACCACGAGCCCTCGCGCGCCACGCGCCGCCCGCCGCGCGGCGGGTCGAACGCGCGGGCCGCCAGGTACGTCCGCCCGAAGGAGGCCGGCAGCCCCAGCGTGGACGCGGGAGACAGCGGGGAAGGCGGCTGGGACCTCGGTCGGGGCACGGCGGCGGGTTCGTCGTCGTCGTCGTCTTCAGCAATTCGTCTCTCTCTCTCTCCCTCTCTCTCTCTCTCTCTTTCTGTTGCTTTTGTTGGGGGAGGCGGCGAAAGGAGGCGGGGCTCTCCTCAGGGCTGGCTCGGCTTCCCCCTCGTCCTGGTGCTGCTGCTGCTGCTGCTGCAGCTTGCCTCGCATCATGCGCCCGCTGCTGCCGCTGGTGGGACCTCTTGGGGCGCCCCTGCCGGATCTGAGATCGGAAGGGGCGGCTCCAACCCGCCCGCCCCTGGACGGTGGACTGAAGCACCGCTGTCCCCTCTTCCCACTCACCCCCACCCTGACCACTCCACTATCCTCCGTCCTGCTGCACTCAGCACTGGGCGCATGGCAAAGACGCGAGACGCCTAGACGTCCCGAATGGCAGCATGTTGGGGCGAAGAGCCAGGGATACTTACATGGACACCCTTACAAAAACACTCAATCACTGCATGAATGCACGGCTGCACTAGCAAAGCCCGCCTCAACCCATTCGGCCTCAGCTCCTAGTCCCAAAATCCCCCATCCCTCTCTCTTCATCTTCCACTCCCACCTCATCCTTTCTCCCTGGCCATTCCACTACTGCTATTCTTCCCCCCCTCTGCGATGACTTCGTTCGCGGCGGGGGCCCCCGCACTCCTCGACCCAATCTTGGGGACACATTTGCTCGGTCCCGGGCCCCCCAGCGAGCCCCAAGAGGCCACCAACTCCGCAAAACTGACCGCCTTTCGCTTGAATTCGAAGTCGACCCCTGGGATTGCCCATGGGGCGCGTCATGGCTCATCTTCTTGGAGGTGCGTCCAGTTGGAGGTGCGTCCAGCTGTTGCGACGGGGGTCCCAGGAGGCCCAAGGAGGCGCAGAGTGTCAGAAACCATCGACCGTTGAATATGTTCCGGCTATTTCACCCGTGCAGTTGGCTTCGATAAGCGGGCAATGTGGGTGGGTTCGTGTATTTGTCTGACCCCCCCCACTGAGCACTGCATCTCTCCGCTCCGCTTCTGGTTCCATGGTCGACGATGCTCGTTCAATGCTGCACCGTGGGCAATCTGCCCCACAGGACCCCTGTTGGGGCGAAGCGCGTAGCCTCTTAAGTCTTTTTCTCTTCGCGCCCACCGACCCCTCCCACCAGGACCCCTCGACATCCCTCGCTGGCCAGGGCCCCGCCAGCACCCCGCCCCTGCGGCCGCCGCGAAGGGCCTGGCGGCCCAGGCCGCGTCGTCCAGGGCGTCGAGGCAGAGCTGCGGCACCGCGGCCAGCATCGAGGGGGCCTCTGCCGACGAAGCCCCCCCTCCCCTGAAGCATAGGAACGATGTGCCGTCATCGGCCCCGACGCCGACGAGGAGGACGAGGAAGAGGGGGATGAGGAGGATGAGGAGGATGCGGATGACGAGGGTGATTGAGACAAGGAAGACGACGAGGAGCATGAGGACGAGGATGAGGAGGATCAGGATGACGAGGACGAGAAGGATCAGGAGGACGTCAACGACAATAAGACTGAGGACGACGAGGATCAGGAGGACGAGGAAGAGGAGTAGGACGAGGACGAGGAAGAGGGGGACGAGGAGGAAAACTCTCCTGGGGACCGCAGCTCCACCCGATTGCGTTGCATACGCCCCCCCCCCCGGCGCAACGCCCAGTCGGGCTCGATGGGTGTAGGCAGCCCGGCCAAGCCTGCAGGGCAGCAGGCTCGCGCATCGGGGGTTGGGAGGGAGGGCAACTCTGACGTACGGCGTCAGAATCAATACCTGACGCGGTCGCCCCCCACCTCCACTCTACGGCCTGCCACGGGCCACATCGGGCCTTAGCTCTCCCTCCTCGTCTTTTCCCCGCATTCCAACGTGTCGAACGCCGAGGAAAAGTCTCCTGGGGACCGCAGCCTCACCTGATTACGTTGCATACGCCCCCCCCGGCGCAACGACCGGTCGGGCTCGATGGGCACAAACAGTCCGACCATGCCTGCAGGGCAGCAGGCTCGCGCATCGAACGTGCGCGATCCTAGCTGTACCTCCACCCTGTTGTTTTTTTCACGTTGAGGGCAACATGTGAGATAATTGGGCGCACCTGTACCTGCGAGCATTGTGAAGCCTTCGTTCTGCACTGTGGGACCAAGTTGACGCGACCAGATACAAGCAGATGTGCTTGGTTCGCAATGTGCTTGTATTCCAAATCAGAAGACTGCTTCTACTCTGATTCAGAATGGTCAACGACCAGACGAGACATCGCAGCCTCCTCGGCCTGATGATTTCTCAAGTCCGCCGGTCCGGCGTATGAGTTTCTGAGGGCGTGGGATTGAGCTCGCTCGAGCTTCGCTCTGGCGGGGCGGGGTTGACGCCACGGCTGACGCCACTCAGGCCCGGGAAGGGGGAGGGGGGCGGGGAGCTCGCTCAAGCCTCGCTCTGTCGGGAAGGGAGCGGGGGGCTGACGGCTGAACCATGGCTGACGCCATTCAGGCCCGGGAGGGAGGAACGGGGGGGGGGGCGCCATGGCCGACGCCATTCAGGCCTGGGAGGAGAGAGTCGGAGGAGGGGGGGAAGGGGCTGACGCCGTTCAGGTCCGGGAGGGGGGGGGGGGGGGGGGGGAGGGGGGGGGGGGGGAGGGGGAGGGGGGCGCCATTCAAGCCCGGGAGGAGAGGGGATCTGAGGAGGGAGGAGGGGCTGACGCCATGGCCGACGCCACTCAAGCCCCCGGGCGGGGGGAGGGGGGAGGGGGGGGGGGGGGGGGGGGCGCTCAAGCTTCGCTCTGTCGGGGGGGGGGGGCTGACGCCATAGCTGACGCCATTCAGGCCCAAGAGTGGAAGAGGGGGGGTTCAGGCCCAGGAGGGAGTGGGTCGAGGGTGCGGGGGAGGAGGGCTGACGCCATGGCTGGCGCCATTCAGACTTTGAAAGGAGGGGAGGGGCTCGCTCTAGCTTCGCTCTGTCGGGGGGGACGGGGCTGGCGCCATTCAGGTCCGGGAAGGGGGGGAGGGGGGGGGAGGGGGGGGCGACGCCGCGACCGACGCCATGCAGGCCCTGGAGGGGGAATTGGGGAGGCGGAGGAAGGGCAGACGCCATGGCTGACGCCGTTCAGGCCCGGGAGGGGGGGGGGAAGGAGGGGGCTCGCTCAAGCTTCAATCTGTCGGGGGGGGGAAGGGGGTGCGACATTGCTGGCGATTCGCGCCCGTGGCGGGGGGTCGGGGAACGGGGGGGAGCTCGCCCAAGCTTCGCCCTGCGGGTGGTGGGAATGGCTGACGCCATTCAGGCTCGGGAAGGGGCAGAGGGGAGGGGGGGGCTGACGCCGTGGCTGACGCCATTCAGACCCTGGACGAAGGCGAGGCCGAAGCTTCGCTTTGTCGGAGGGGGGGGGGGGCCTGATGACGCAAGCTTCGCTCTGTCGGGGGGGAAGGGGGCCGACGCCGTGGCGTCGTCGCCATTCAGGCCCGGGAAGGGGGCGGGGGGCCGCGCAAGCTTCGCTCTGTCGGGGGGGGGCTCACGCCGCGGCTGGCGCCGCTCAGGCCCGGAGGGGCGAGGGGGGCGCCGTTCAATGCTCAGGCCCGGGAGAAGGGATTCGGGGCCGGGGGGGCGCCGACGCCATGGCTGACGCCATTCGGCCCGGGAATGGGGGGGGGGGCTCGCTCGAATTCAAGCCTGGGAGCGGGGGGCTGGAGGGGCGCCGACGCCGCGGCTGACGTACGATCAAGCTCGGGGAGGGAATTCGGGAAAAGGGGTGGAGCTGACGCCGCGGCTAACGCCGCTCAGGCCCGGGAGGGGGAGAGGGGGGGGAGCTCGCTCAGCTCGGCTGTGCGTCGGGGGAGGAGGGGGCTGACGCCGCGCAGAGCCCGGGAGGGGAGAAGAAGGGGGGGGGGGGGGTGGGGGGGGCGGACGCCATGGCTGACGCCACTCAGGCCCGGGAGGGAGTCTGGAGAGGATGGGGGCCGACGCCATATCTGACGCCGTTCAAGCCCGGGAGGGGGGGCGGGGGGGGGGGGGCCACTCAAGCTTCGCTCTGTCGGGGGGAGGGGGCGGGGGCTGACGCCATGGCCGACGCCATTCAGGCCCGGGGCGGAAGAGGGGGGGGGGTGCTGACGCCGCGGCCGACGCCATTCAGGCTTGGGACGGGAAGGGGGAGAAGCCGGCGCCATTCAGGCCCGGAAGAAGGGGGGCTGGGAGGGCCGACGCGACGCAGCGCCGCGAAAGTGGGGGCGCCCAAAATATCCACGCGGACATCGGAAATGTGCGTTCACGTGGTATTCGATTATTCGATCCCCTTCCCGCTCCTTATCCGGTTCGCGGAGCCGATTCTTAAGATGATGTCTCGAGAGGGTGCTCTACTTTGAACCATAGAAGGTCATCTGTTGCAAGCAGAATCTGTAGCACCACAGATCGGCGGCGCTGGCTGGAGGCCACTGCAATAGGAAAGATAGGCCGCGCTGCGCCACTAACCCGCCTTGAGCAAGGTCGCAAGAGATCTGATCCACGGGCATCGAGGATGTCCCTGGCCACCCCACTACGCAGAGCGTGGCTCCCCAGCGCCGGGCTGTCGGGGGTACTTTAAGCGGCCGCGTGGCATCTCACCGTGCGCGCGACAGGACTCCTAGACTGCTCAAAAATAATTGCCCTGCCCGCAGCGCTGGCCACCTCTGGAGCGCGCTTTATCCAGCGGCATGCGCACGGGCTTCTGCCAGACGAAGCACAGCAGCAATCCCTCTTCAACGTGCTCGGTCCGCTCGCATGTTTGCGCAAATTCAGTGCAGGGACCACCGCGCCGTCAGAACACCGAACCTCGGAATGGCGACCCCGCCCCCGCAGCGGCAGCGCCTCTGACGGCGCGCGGGGGCAGGACTGGCCGAGCGATGGCAAGCAGCGCCGCCTGTTGCATTGTCCACGAGGCGCTTCGCGCCCTTGGCTGGCAAGCCTGGGCGCAGCTCCGGCGGCGGGGCCGCCTATCGGATACCTCGCCGCACTTGGCTTAGAACAGCGGTGCCGAAACCCTTCGAAAGCCGCGAGTAGCGGCGGGCTCACCGCAGTTGCTTGAAGCACGCGTACAAAATGTCAGGACTAGCGAACATGGTCGCGAATTGCAGCGCTGACTCCTCTGTCGCCGGGAAGTGCACTGCGCTGTCTGCCGCGTGGCAGAAGGCAGCCCAGCACCTGATTCCGCTGGCGCATGTGGGAATCGAAGCCCAGATGGCTTCAATCATGAATCTCGGGGCTTGCTCCCCAAGCAAAATTGGCGCGCCCGGCTGCGCCTGCCGCGGGGCCCGCGAACTCTTGCGCGGCCCCCCGGTAGCGACTAGGTCACCGAGGCCCTGCTCTTGCACCCGCGACTCAAGCGTCGCTGCGTTCAACGCCGTAGCGAGCTTAACTTCGCTTCGGCGCTCCTCCGAGCACTGCGCGGGAACCCAGCCCGCGCGCTCACCGAAGCTCAGCGTCAGAATCCTCGAAATCCACCGCCCAAATTCGCCTCCAATGGGCCGCTGCAACTCGGCGGGCGCCGTCGGGGTCGGCGAGGGGCGCGACCGCGGCCTGTCGTCGCGCGAGCTGCTGCTGCAAGGTAGGGGATGGTTGTTGGACGCCTGCGCGGCGAACAGATCCGCGAGGGGAATGCCGGATCTGCGCTGCAGAGCCGGCGCCTCCAGGCCGCCGCGCATTGCAGCCGCAAGGGCGACTTCAGCCCGGCCGGGCAACGGCCAAATTCGAGCCGCGCTCGGGCAAGCGACCGCCTCCGTGACCCGCTTCCAGGCCCGCGCGGCTGCGCGGTTGCCAATGGGCGCGCGATGTGCGTGGAATCATTCGCTGGCCGGCGCTTGCCCGGCCCGGGCCTGCTCTTGCGGGCGCGCTGATGAACGAAACGCGACGCGTTCGCTGGCAATGGCCATTGCCACCCGGCGCGAACCCAAACGCTCCTCAACGAACGATAATGTAGCTACGTTACAAAAATTACGGCAATGCAGACGCGGGCGAATGCGACGAGAGAAAAAGACAAGCGCCACAAGGGCGAATACATCACAATGACAACGAAAGCCGTGGCCACCCACAACACAGAATCGAACGAATAAGAAACCACATGCTTCAAGTGGGCGTTGCGCCTGGGCCGCTGCCCACCAGAGCTGGGGGGCAACAGGGTTTGGCCTATGACGTGCAAGGCTCTTGCCTCATTCGCTTCTTGCGTCGCTGGCGCTGACGCCATGGCGGCGGGGCGCTCGGTTGGTTGAGTCACCAGTTCTGACAGAGGCCGCGGCTGACCTAGGAACGCGCCCTGCAAACGCGCACGCGCGCACATGCGCGCGCGCACTCAACCACGCGCAAAACACGCGTATCATTGCTTACAACAAACGGGCAACAACAATAAGCATCATGGCGTCCGTTCGAATATCCCTTCGCGACGTTATTCGCCTGGCTCTTGCCATCGCGAGGTGCCCGCCGGACGTTGCTGGTTCAAGCGTGAACCCGCCACTTCGCAACGGTGAACCCACGACGTGAATCGCCAAACGCGTGCCACATCGCGGCGCCGACCGTTGCCGGCCCAAGCGCCAGGCCGTTGCCTCTGCAAGTTGCCAATTCTTGCCAGAACCCCATGCTCTTGCCTCGCGCCCCCCCTCCACCGGCGATCGGCCCTGCTCTTGGCAGCGCTAACATGGCCGCGAACTCGCGCGCGCGCGCGTCAAGCACCACGCCGAGGGCGAGGGCGGGGGGGGGGAGGGCCGCGGGCAGGTGGGCGAGAGATTCGGAGACACTGGAAGGCATCTCGTCGCAGAGATGTCATGCTGCGAGCTTCTGGCCGCCCGGACATAACCGCGCGCGGGGGCAGGCCTGGCGCCCCCGCGCGCCAGGCTACTGCCTGGCCAACACAACGCCGAATGGCGCGCCATGGGGCTCTTGCCCTCAACCTGACCCAACGACAGCGCACCACGTGTGCATAAAGGAAAACTCAGAAACTTGTTTTCCGGTGGATCTTGCGCCTGCATGACGGCGCGATTGATGCCCCCCCGTGCGCCCAGCTACCGAGGCCCCCTCGAAAACGCCGCCAGCTCCCACTCATCGTCTCGCCTGCGCCTAAAGTACGCAAGATTGACAGAGGTTGCTCGCAGACTGGACGTGCTCTGCCCGGTAGTGGACATGCAACCCGACCGCTTCGCACCAAAACCGACAAGCAATCAAGGCCATATCAGTTTTGGACAAATCGCCTCTCGCTGCGCAAGCCAGCGCTGCGGTGCCATCGATGAAATGCGCCACGCGCGAACCTGCTACACGATCGGGGCTCCACAACGCTAAGGCCGCCAACGCTGGCAAAAGCTCACTGGCAACAATATATGTGATCCTCTGCTTTAAGAGTCCCCGAGTGCTGCGGCCGCATCGCCAAGTCATCAGGCCCCGTTCGCCGTTGTTGCCACCGCGTGAACGGACGTAACAAAGCACGGCCGACCCTGTTGAAGACGCGACAGCTCAAGCAGGATAAACGCACGCGCAACTTGGACGCTCAGCCCAGAGGCAACACGCCCTGCGCCTACACGCGTCGAAGTGCCCTCGCCCCAACACTGCTGCTTGTCTGCGCTAACTGCCCCAGTGAGGTTTGCGGGCCCGCGCTGTCCTGGATGCCAGGCATAGTGTTTCTGGCCGCCTCGCTCTTGTCAGGGTCGACGCCGCCCCGACAGGTCCGCGGCCCCCCCTCGAAGAGCGCGCCCGCCCACTCGGGCGCGGCCCTGCCCCTACAGCCCCGCGCCATCTGCACCAGCCCAGAAGGCGTCGTCCACGCGCAGAAAAAATAACCGCGCCGAAGACGCGCAGCACGATGTGCCGCACCGCCCCAGCCGCGCGACGCCACCCCGCGACGCCGCCGACGTTGCCGAAAACGCGAGGCCACAGGGGCGCGGTCATCCATGTAGACGCGTCGGCGTTGCAGACCAACGCCCAACACATCCATCCATGTGCTTCCAGAGGCGGCAAAGTTTTGAAAGCCGATGTAAAATCAACTTCCCCCATCTCCGGCAAGGGCCCTGGATGGCGCGTAGCCGCCGTCGCCCAGCGCGCTGCCAGCGCCTGCTGGAGGCCGTCGCAGCGCATTTTCTGCGGCAGCCAGGCGCAGTCGTTCGCGAGGTTGCTGCGGAAGTTGCGGATTGACCGCGCTTTCGGCTCCGTCGGCCACCCTCGCTGCCCCCAAGTGCCGAACGCGTCGACGCGGGGCGCCCCCGACATATCCACTTGGCTGACTTGGGCGGGCCACCCTGCGCGGCCCTCGCTGACATCTTGCGTTGCTCGGGCCCAAATCTCGCGCGCCAAGTCCCGCGGGAACAAACTCCCCGATGTTGGTTGCATCCCGATGGGGTGGGAACGGGGGTCGCAGGAAGATGAGAGGGGCGCGAAGGCAGAGGGGCGGGGGCGCGCGCGAGCACGCACGCGCGCACATATGCGACTGACTGCGTGGGAAATCGTTTTCAGAACCGGACAGAGCACCACGACCTCCATGTCGCCCTTCAAAAATGATCACGCAAAGTGGCGTTGGGTTACACAATCATCCCGCCCTGACCTGCAGATGACGCACGCGCCCGGGCTGTTGCCCTCGTCGACGCGCATTCGTTGAGCCGGCGGCAATTGGCCCTCAGCTCGGATAGCGGCGGGGCCCCGCCGCCGCCTTGGCGCCCGCGGCTGCGCGGACCCCCGGGAACTGAAGTGCCCAAGCCTCCCGCGTGAAGATCTTCTGTGAGCGGGGGCCCATGGGGCATGTCGTGCAAAATCGCGGCATCATCGCGTTGCGACTGATGGAGAAGAGCGCCAAGAGTGAAAGGATCCATATCTCCAATTAACCCCCCTCTCGCGCGGGCGCACCGTGCCGCGCCGCCCCTGAACGCTGGGCGCCCGGGCAGACTTGCGCCGCCTCCAATTTGCAATCGCCTCAAGAGCTGAAGCGAAGAACCTGGGCAGGTCTGCCGCCATGTTGGAGATGAGCAACGCCTGTTAAGCAGCGCGCCCTCTGTGCCCGGGGGCAGCGGCTGCCGCGATGACGACGAGGGCGCCTTTCGCAAGTGATCCACTGGCGCCGCCGCCGCCCCCGCCGGAACGCCGTCGCAGCGCGCAGAATCGCCCTCAGACGACCAAGCGTCCACATATGACCCGCCGCCTTCGCCCGCGCCCTGCGAGACAGAAGGGGGGCGTGGAAGCCCCCAAGCCGGGCGGCCATCAAGGCCGAATCACGCGGACGTACTGTCTTTTGGGAAGGCTCAAAGATCCTCAAATCGGGCCCCCTCGTTTCAGGACCCGTTGGGGTCGGAGAGAACCTTCTCCCCCAGATCGCGCCCTGAAAATGGCCTTTCGCTGAGGCGGCGGTTCTCTCAACCCATGCGTTTTTTACATTCAGAATTCTTAACCCATGCGTTTTTGAAATTCAGAATTCCTTGTAGTAGGCATTTCCGAATCCTGAAACCCTTGATTGTGAAATCTGGAAAAAATCGGAAACCTTGATTTCGAATTTACAGAATCATTGTTATATGGAGTTCTGGATTCTGATTTCAGTGCATTTGGATAGTCTGAATCGTTCAGGGTTCCGAGAATGTGGAGGAGGAGGACGACGACGAGGAGGACGAGAAGGAGGAGGATAAGGAGGAGTAGGATGAGGCTTGCCTCTAGGAGTTCTTGCGTGCTGGTTACTTCGTGCTGGGGGCCCCTGCCCCTGAGTATCAAGGGTGTCTGGGTCAAAGTGTCTGGGTGTCTGGTTGTCTGGGTGTCTGGGTCGGGGTGTCCCGGTGTCTGGCGCGGTCTGGGTGTATGGGTGTCTGTCGCCTGTGGGCCCGCCATGTTTGCACGCTGCTTGTCTGAATTCAAAGCCGGCGCTCTGGCCAGCACCCTCTTTCAGGGTGCCGCCCCCTTGCTCCCCCCTCTCCATCAGCGCGGTGTAACTCCACGGCTGCAAGGCGGTGCGCGGCCCCGCCGTACGTGCAGCAGCTTGTCACGCTTCGCGTGCTGCACTTGTCTGCTCCTCTGTTTTGGGGCCTCGGTGGGCCTTGGGGCATCTTGACGGGCATCTCTGGGGACGCCGGCTGGCGTGGACAGGGCTGGTGGTGGTGGTGGTGGAAGTGGTGTCGGTGTTGGTGTTGTTGGTGTTGTTGTTATCGGTGTGCCAGGTGTTACGTGTATATGTGTTGTGTGTGTGTTCTTGTTTATCGTTTGTGGTGATTCGTTGTTTTTCATTGTGACGGCAGCCCGGGTGGGCTATCCGATCCCAGCCGATCAGCCGATCAGCCGATCAGGCGCCTACCAGCCGATCAGCCGATCAGCCGATCAGCCGATCAGCCTTATCGGCTGATCGGCTGATCGGCTGGTCGGCGCCTGATCGGCTGATCGGCTGATCGGCTGATCGGCTGATCGGCTGGTCGGCGCCTGATCGGCTGATCGGCTGATCGGCTGATCGGCTGGTCGATCGCTGATCGGCTGATCGGCTGATCGGCTGGTCGACCGCTGATCGACTGATCGGCTGCCGTCCAGTTCCCCTTGAGACATCCTCGCAGCTCCGGGCTCAGAGGTCTCCTGACCCGAGGTGGTCGGGCCAGTCTCGCCTGCGACATCTTCCTGTCTTTGGGTTCCAATGTAACATTGCACCACATAGATTGCACCACGTAGGTGGGCACCACATGCGATGCATTACATATTTAGCGGC